CGAATACTGAAGGATTATGCTCTCCCGAGATTACAATACGTTGACCAACTAGGCCTCGTTGGGCTAACGGAATTGCGAACGATTGACATAAAAATTAGAAAATGGGTGCGACTATGGCTTGGTCTACCTAAGGATACAACCAAAAGCTATCTGCACGCGCATGTACAAGATGGCGGTTTGGGAATTGAATCACTGAAATCAACAATCCTTCTTAGACGTGCTAAGCGTCTTAAGGCCCTAGCCTCGGGGTCCTGTGATGTCATGAACCTCATAAAACTATCTAATACTTTCCAAAATCTGCTTGATCGGAATACGCGACCGATTAGGATAACTGGTCTAATAATCGGCGACATAACTGAGATGCGTCATGCGTGGAAGAGAAACCTCTATAACACGGTAGGTGGTAAGGGTCTGGAGTCAGCAGGCCAATCCAAGAGTGCTCACCGATGGGTATCGAATCCAGAGGGTGTTTCCCTGGATGTATGAGAAAGCGACTCAGATACGAGGTCATACTGTCAACTAGAGCGCGACGCGCGAGAGGCCGACACGGTCATGAACCCCCTAACTGCCTCGGGGGGGGGGTTGTAGGAAGGTAGAATCTCTCATCCACATTTTACACGTTTGTAAGAGTGTTCAGAGATTACGAATCGCGAGGCGTAACCGGGTAGTTTCGAAACTTGAAGGTTCGTTGAGACGTTTAGGCTACTCAGTGTTGAGTGAAGCTCGTATTCCTGACGGCGGACCTATTTAAAACCCGACCTAATCGCCTACAAAGGTGATGTAGCGTGGGTTATTGACGGTATTATATGTGCGAATGGTAGACTACGAGCATCTTGGAACGCCAAGATAAGGAAATACAATACAGAGGAACTGAATGAACGATATCACTTACTCGTCAACAAACGGGGTGGGATAGTGAAGGTGATTCGACACCTTCCAGTAGTAATAACAATGCGAGGAATTATGAATAGCAGATCTGAAGCCGGTCTCCTAAGACTAGGCTTACACAGACATGCGGTAGGCTGGTTTTGCGAACAAACGATTATCGGATTGTCTATCTGTTATGATGCCTATATGCAGCAGTAAGATGAGGGCAAGTACTGTAATAATAGGGACGAAAAGTCACTTGGCTATTCACCCAGATCAGTGAAAGGTGGTGCCACTGAAACTTAAAGGAATTGACGGATAGATGACACTATGTGGAACCTGCGGTTTGCATTTGCAAATAAACTTATAAGGGGCGTAGCTCCAGTGAGCCTAAGGCGGCCTCGGGCCATTTGCTCAAGGAAGCAGCTGAAGGCTCCTGGTCTACAAGGCGACCGACCCTATGTGGTGGCCCTGAGCATTCTAAACATCCGTTTAGAGTGTCAACTGGCGCCAAGGCCCTGATATAAAAAGGGTTTAAACCTCTGAAACCTACATGAATTGACGGAAGGGGGACACTACTTTGTGGATCCCGACGAGACCCTGATATCAAAAAGGCTCTGTTGAACGCTTAGGATTCCGTGCCTAGCATGAACCAGAATAATGGTACGTGTTCATGGTCCCAAGGCCGTAGATGCGGTGACAATTTCTGCGTCAAAACAGACAGACATAGAGATACAACGCAGAACTTCGTACGTAAGTACATCAGTTCAGGTTGCCATACCACATCAGCACACAGACGCAACTGTCAGTTCAAATCCAGGAGTGATAGCGATAGTAGAAGTATTAGCAGTAATGGAGATTATAGTTCGAAGATATGATTCGATAAGTATAATTCAGTGAGATAAATTTAGAAGAAGAAGGACAGAGGTGATGAGAAATTCAGAAGGTTAAAATTAGAAAGAACACAAAGAGTGGATGCACCTGCGCCATTGCAAACGATTTTGAGCCATGTCGTTCAAGGTCTCTAACCATTGGTGACTTTCGTCTCACGGACCCAGTCAAAACATAGCTTACCACAAGAACTTTATATTTTAAATGCTATAAAACAACAATTGTTTAGTAAAGCACACTTTAAAAGAACATAAGCTAATTTTACTTATTTATGACTGATCAAGCTTTCATATTTCTTTTTTGTCACTTTGCAAAATTAATCTTCTACAACTGTTTCCTTTCTGTCTTATTTGAATTATATTTTATTACCCAACACAAAATAGTTGTTTTGGTACATTTATTCTACAACTTGAAACATGTAACTATTATTAATTTCGATGACACAGAAGTTCAAGAGACAATGAGCTTAGAAGGTGATGTTGTGAACCTCCATGGACATTACTGAGCATAAAATGTGACAGCACATAAACAAACTCACTCTGTGCAAAGATGAGTACACTGATAATCACAAAAATTGGATGTAGAAGTTATGCGTTTCACTTTACTGCAAATCTGATCACAACCATGAGGTATTGTCGTACGACCAGGGTGAAATTCAGGACTTTCAATACGCCCACAAAAGCATCGGTAAGAAATCAGTTCCGGAGATAATTCATGATTTGTTTGACATGAAGGACAGCGCCAAACAGAAGTGGAGTCACATTCGATGTTAGGTTGCTGAAATGATTTTTTTGCCCAAGACCTAATACATAACAGGTGGTAAATGTTATAACATGTAGCACACGACCAAATGGGGTCAGTAGCACGAATCCTCGAAATGCATATCATACATTGATATGTACTGTTGCGTAAGCCATCAATAAGGTTACCTGACCAATAAATATCATAAATGTTAACATAAAATGAACATGCTCAAAATGAGAAAGAAACAACGTAAATGATAACAACGTGAAAACGTGTTAAACAGTACACCCATCCGTAAAACGCAGTATCCAATAACTCCATGTTTTATTTCAAACACAATAGTCTTGGTACAAACAAGCATGAAAATATACATGCGCCACACAATAAAAATAAATTTGTGAAGAGACAGCAAACGGAGATTGGGTCGGTGGGGGGAACACTGTAGGAAAGAGTTGAACTGGCATTCAGCAATACTTCGGTTACCCATGATCTCCAGCCGCCTAAATGGCAAGTCGATGCAAGTCTTCCGAATCTTGATGAGGTTGAAAAGGCTACAAGAAATCTAAAGCGACGGAGGGCAGCAGCGACTGACAGGCTTAACCTTGAGATTTTTACGGATGGTGGTCCAGTTCTAGCAGTCAGATTAACTGAGATCTTAGGTAAAATCTGGGAACTAGACACAATCCCATCCGAATGATTTCAATCACTGATTATTACAGTCCACAAGAAAGGACAAAATTCCTCTTATGACAATCACAGAGGAATCAGTTTAACTAATATAGTTTCTAAACTGTTAGCCTCAATAATACTCCGAAGCCTAACTAGAGCTCATGAAAAGCGAACTCGAGAAAACTAAGATAGTTTCAGACCTGAACGTGGATGTATAGAACAGGTATTCACACTTCGTCAGGTCCTAGAACACAGACGAACGTTCAGACGCCACACAATAGTAATATTTCTCGACCTCAAGGCGGCATTTGACTCTGTCGATTGTGAGGTTCCGTGTCAGTGTCTGTCGTTGTAAGGTGTACCAAAGAAATTTGTTAGCCTCATACAAGCTCTATACTCGAACACTACTGATCGATTGAGAGCTTATGGCGAACTGTCATGCGAATTCCTTACTTCAGGTGGTGGCCGTCAGGGTTGCCCACTTTCTCCATTCTTGTTTAACTTTCTCGTAGACATGCTATTAGGTGCAACAATATCTTCGTCTTACTTTTCAGGGCTGGATGTTCTACCAGGAGACTCACTTGTTGACTTGGAATATGCCGATGAAATAGTTCTATTTGGTGACGACGCTGACAAAATGCAGTCTTCTGAACACTTTAAGCAACAATGCATGCATGCTCGAGATGCGATTCTACCCCTGGAAATGCAAAATATTGCTTCAGGATTGGCTTACGTCGGCAATTATACTAGTGCTGGAGAGTGAAGTAGCTGAGCGTGTTGACCGCTTCACTCATCTGGAGAGTCTCATCAGTGCTGATGGCCCGGTGACTGACGAAATCTCAGCACGGATACAAAAGGCTCGATTGCCTTTTGCCAACTTGTGGCGTAGGCAAGATATCTGTCTGGTAACCAGAGGACGAGTCTACTGAGCAACAGTTCGCTCTGTCCTAATTTATGGCTGCGAAACATGGCCAGTCAGAGTAGAAGATATTCGTAGGTAACTGGTTTTCGATCATAGGTGCCTTCGAAACATTGCTTGTATATCCTGGGACAATCGAGTAAGCAATGCTGTTGTTAGGAAACGGGTAACAGGTAAAAATGGCAAATCAATTAATGAAGTAAAGAGTGCTCATCATTTGAGATGGTTGAGACATGTTTTACGTATGCCCAACCGCCGACTGCCTCGAAGAGCTGTGTTCTGTCGTGTAGGAGTAGGTTGGAAGAAAGCTACGGGCGGCCTGACCAAAACATGGACCAAATCCATGAAGTTACTGACAAGTGGAATGAGTCATGTTGGTAGATGTAGGCTACCTGGTTGGGGTCCGCAAGACGAAAGTCATCGATGGTTAGAGACCTTGAATGACATTGCTCAAAATCGTTTGCAATGGCGCAGGGGCATTCGTTCTTTGTGTTCTTTCGAATTATAATCTTCTGAATACCTCATCGTCTTTATCTTCTTTTAAGTTTATTTCACTGAATGATACTTCTTGAATAATATCGTAGAACCCTAGTGTCTCCGAATACTGCTAATGCTTCTACTGTCTCTAAAACTATGGGATTTAAATTGAAAACTGCGTCTCTGTGCTAATGTGGTATGGCACCCTGAACTTATGTACTTACGAACGAAGTTCTATGTTGTAACTGACTGACTATTTCTTTAAGATCCGTTTTAATATTTGTATGGTGCATCTCTTAATACCAATAGTGTATCAGTTTTATGTATGAAGAAGAGACATAAAATTAACTCACTTCTCAGATCATCATGATTTTCAAGTTTATGACTTAACTTAGAAGTAGCTAGTGGTTTTTGTTGAGCAGAAGAGGAGATATCGCTTTCCGAAGAACCAGTTTGAATTGGGTAGGTAGAATTAACCAAGTTATTGGTTGAAGACCCAGAGGATGGTATCGTCCGAGCAACTTGATGGCCATCAAATCCACGTCTTAAATTTAGATTCTTTTTACGGTGATAAAAGTCCCTTACTGGAGAGCCAAAAAAGCGATTATTCCTCCTATACGGGTAGCGAAGATGGTCATCTGGTCTATAATGGCTATGATGTCCAGATCTATTCTCAAAGTTATCCGTTGATGGACTTGGACACCGGTAGGTATGTGTTGATGTTACTGAACGAGAAGAGGGACGATGAACCCTTCCATTTGCTCGATATGTACATCTGTTACCTCTAAGTAGACGCTGATTATTTATGATGTCAGGATACATTCTGAAAAACGATAAGAATATACTTTGCGTAAGTAATTACTTACCGATATCGAGTATATGGTAAAGTCAAACATTAGTTTTCAAACGTTATTATGCTTCATCCGCTCAGCAAGAGTAATACAAAATGATTGTGAACGAGATGAGGCATAAAAATACAAAAAAATACACAAGTAGTCTTTTTAATGACAGCAAATTCCAAACCCACAAGATGTTGAGTTTTTACATTTAGAGGTCGACTCAGCTTCCATAGGAATTCATGGATCTCATTTCTTTTTCATTCAGAAATGAACTAACCAAGCACGTGAGCTAGCTTACAAACATCATAAGTTCGGTCAACTGTGCTCTTATCAAACTATAATCAACTGACAATTTTACCCGATTTACAGCACACAGATCTCTGTAAATTAAGAATTGTTAGACCCAGCTCTTAACTCTGTTTATTACGAACATTACAAGCACTAAAAGTGAGTCAAAGAAACTACATTAACGACACGAATGGAAACCGAAAAGATCAAAACTTATGAGTTGGAAACTGAGTATGTGGAATATAACCACTTTCAAGTTGAGCTTGTTGTCATACTAAACACCAGTTTAGTGGAAGAAATTACCATGTGGCATGCGGTGACTGATAATTACGTAGAAACTCCAACAGCATAAAACAAGCAAACGGATCCAGTATTGGCAGGATTGTGAGATTTCAAGGACACCGGAAAGATTACCACGTATCAGTCAGTCAGTCAGATGCAACGTAGAACTTCGTACGTAAGTACATCAGTTCATGTTGCCATACCAAATCAGCACAGAGATATAATTGTCAATTCAAATCCAATAGTAGAAGAGGTAGTAAAATTATTAGAAGTAATCGAAGAGGTTAGGATTAGAAGATATTATTCAAGAAGTATGATTTAGTGAGAAAAGTTTAGAAAGTCAAAACTAGAGATGTTGAAGAATTCAGATTAGAATTTGAGAGAACACAGAGAATGAATGCCCCTCTGCCATTTCAAACGGTTTTGAGCCATATCATTCAAGGTCTCTAACCATCGATTATTATCCTCTCGCCGACCTCAACCAGGTAGTCGACAATTACCGACATGGCTCAGTCCACTCGTCAATGACTTCATGGATTTCTGCCATGTTTTGGTTTGGCCGCCCCTAACTTTCTTCCAACCTATTCCTACACTACAAAACAAAGCTCTTCGAGGCAGTCGGTGGTTAGGCATACGCAACACATGTCCCATCCACCTCAACTGATGAAGTTTCATTACTTCATCTATTGATCTGCCATTCTTACCTATCACCCGCTTCCTAATAACAGCGTTGCTCACTCGGGTGTCCCAGGATATACTTTTACCACGTATAAGACAGTTTCGTTTACCTTTTCGTAATTTACTTTTGTGTTCAGCAACATCAGTGTTACAATCTTATTTACTATTATGGAAAAAAACTAAAAAATGGTAGATGGACTTTTTAGTTATACGCTAACATCGAGATATAAAGAGCTATAAAAAATAAAGATTAGTCTACAGCTTCAAAATGACCTACAGAAATAATGTGAATGGTGCAGTATTTGGCGGTTACCAATAAACTCTTCCAAGTGCATCGCGATGTATACCGATCACCAAGGCACAGATAAACACACGAAGAAAAACACTGAGTTACCTGTGATCCAGACACACAATGACTTATGAGTCATAATTAATCATGACTTGAAGACTACTGCACATTGCCCTGCGACAGATGCCAAAGGTTTTAAAACCCTATAGTCTACATATAGAACCTTTAGCCATATCGACGCCAAAACATTTTTGACTGTATATAGCGTTCGCTTGTCCTAAACTTGGACATTACATACAAGCTGCTAGTCCCTGCCTAAAAAATACAATTAGCTGTTGGAAATGGTTCACAGAACAGCAAATGAGTTGATTCCCGGAGTCACAATGCTCCTGTATGAAGCCTGGTTAAATTAAACTACTTTCCTTTATCATATAGAAGGAACAGAGACGACTTAGTCACAGTTTTTAAATCACCTAGTGATAAATCTGCATCTGCATGTTCTCATTTTTCTTGCCTTTATAAACAGAGAATTTACGAGAACATTCTAAAAAGGTTTACAAGCCGAGAACAAATTACTTGTCTGACTAGCGACATGCCCATCGAATCATCGACGGATCGAACTCATTACCCGAACACGTGATTAGAGTTCCATCTTTCAACGCATTCAAGAGAAAGATGAATAAAAAAAACCAAAACTTCTAGGACTAACACCGACTACAGCCTCCTTTCTCGTTCAAACCGAACCAAACACAGTTTTATCACTAAACGATGATAAAACGTCTTACCTGCTATACTGTGACGTTCAATGGATGCTTCTTGTATTTATAAAGCTTCAGAACGCTGGGAAATTAATATTTCACGAAGTACTGCGGTTACATGATGTTAATTTTTTATTCACCAAGCGGAGATAACTAGATGTCAACGCAATCAAATTACGTTTAAATTGCTGGTTGACAATATCTGAGGGCATTCATGACCAAAGAGACAAGACCAGTGAACTGCAGTTGTAAATAGATCATCAAAATAGACGACTTTTTAGACATTCGATATGGATGCGAACCTCATTAATCTTAAACGAGACTACTGTTTACGATGTTCGGATAACCCTGATAGCTATATCCCGGTACAGTCAACAAAAGACGTTTCTACTGCCATCAACAGTCAATTTAGAAAGCTAACGCCCACTTATATCGGCTTACATTCAAATATTTTTTTCTTTCAGCCATGACTGCTTCCTCCAGTTTTATTTGAGGATATCATTCTGGATAGTACTTTGTCCGATGAACCTAATATTTACAATTTTCCCCAGACAAGTATGTGACGAAATGAATTGGAGCATTGATACAACTGGGTTTTAACAACAGTGTATGTATATCTTACAAGTTATTTATTACACCCAAAACGGAGTTTTCTTACAGCAGCCGGTATCGACCACTTGACGCCTGTTTTAGAAAGAAAGCACAAGATATTCAACTTCCAATAACCAATATCTTTTATACGAGAGCATATAAACCAGTCGGTTTATTTCTATTTGCCCCTTGTTTTTTCATCACAGTTCCAGGTATTTGGCGATGTTCAAAGGATGATGGTTTTTCCACTCAACTGCAGTAATTCTGGTCAGTTGATAGTTATTTGTGGATTTGTATGTCCCGTGATTTGAGCGAGTGAGTTTGTCTCAGTGCAGTAGGGCTTCTGGATACAAGCGACTATCACATTACCAGGCTGGAGACCAGTTATTTGCAGTATGGAGAATGATAAGAAAAATGTAAAGCTAATGAGAAGGGGAGAATCATAGAACTATGTAAATAATTAAATAAGTCGATTAAATGGTAGTGTTGATTGTGCGGGATAACAATAGTGTGGGCAAATAAGTGGAGACTGAGATAATAAGCGAGATAGAACAGTTTGATGATCTGAGGAAATGACAATAATAATAACTAGCAAGTTTCGAGACATTCATCAGGCAGAGCTGGTCTAAGAGTGAGATGATAATCTGTATATGAATTCATGTTTACCAAGTCTCTTCTTGAGGCTATTCACTGAGGGGGCTGTGGTTACTTCGACTCGGGGAGCATTCTCAGTTGCGACAAGTTTTTGTGAGAAAACGTGTGCATGCTCCAGAGTGTTCGCTCTTTGATGAGCAGTTTTTCGAGTGTTGCCCGAAAGGCGTGGTGATAATGCTCATTTGGGATTATTCGGCGTTTGTAACATGTTGTATATCGTTTTCATATCACCTCTTATTCTTCTATCACTCAAATGGAACAATTCCAATTGTTGGAGTCTATCTTCGTAAGTTTTGTTCTTCAAACCTATCACCCATTTAGTTGCCAGTCTCTGTACTCGATACAGGATATTTATGGCTCTTTGAAGGAGACGGGTGCGAGTACATTGTGGCCGTGCGCGAGTTTGAAAGAGAGTTAAAAACACTTGTGTGGTTGCATCAAGATTTCTC